GGTGTAGTAGTGCCCACACGTTCCTGCTTAGCCCAACACCAGGATCTCGGGATCCCAGCCTGCAACTTCCCCTTCGAAACCCCCCGAAGATGAACCACTGACACACGTTGATGCAAACAGAGGCCAAAATAGGGAAGGATGAAGAGACTCGGCCCAACACGTGCGGTCTGTGGCAGAACCGAGCGCTGAAGCTTGCTCAGCCTCAGCCGGGAGCCGCTCCCTACATGTGTGTCACAAACACACTTCGGAGCAAGGCACCTCAGCTCCCTGATCCTGCCAGCTCCCAAAACCCCACTGTGGCCTCTGCTCACCCTCCCTCACCTGCACCTACATTACCCATAGACCGGTTTGGGTTGGAAAGGACCTCAAGATCATCCAGTTCCAACCCCGTGCCGTGGGCAGGGACACCTCACCCTAGAGACCAGGCATTCACTAACCCCTCTGTCACGCCAGCTCCCCCGGGCACGGGGCAGAAGAGGCAGCCATGGTTCCTTAGGAAAGAAGGAAGAGTAATTGCAGGGTGAGCAGTCTCCTGGGAGAGCCACTGCCATGAGAACACAAAACCACTCCAAAACCACACAACTGCATTCAACCCCCCCCCAAGGCACACAGACCTCCCTGCCCCGTTTGCTGCTGCCGGGAATGTGTTGCAAGAAGGCCCCATGTCCAGAATAACTCCTGCTTCCCACATGGCCTCACTGCTTAAAGGACACAGCCCGGCTGGAGCGGTGCCCCCAGCAGCACAGGACGTGTTCGCAGCCTCCTGCTCCCTGTGCAGGGCTCCCGCTCCCTCCTCGGCAGTGCCGCACACCAGGACACGTATTTCCCTCCGGGAGCAGGAACACGAGTGGCAGCACCTTCCAGCACACACGTCACTCCGCTGCTGGCTGCACCTCCTGGGGGAAGGACCGAGGTTATCTGTGTTTGGTTTTCCAGCCTTTGTGCTTCTTGCCTTCGCCACCCAGCCAGCCAATTCCTGCTAGGTCCTGCCCAGCGCCACGGTCGAGCTGCTCTCACCCCAAAAGCCATGTGGGAGCAAACTGGGAGCACAGGAGAGGCGAGTGCTCCACAGGGATGAACTGGGACCGCTTCTCAATGGGAAAAACTGGTTTGCAGTCAATAAAAATCTCCCTAACACTCCTGCCAGCTTGGTAAGACAAGGTGACCATGTCCAGCTCCCAAGGGCACGGACAGAAGCTGCTCAGCTGTGTCATAGAATCCCAGACTGGTTTGTGTTGGAAGGGACCTTAAAGTTCCTCCAGCTCCAACCCCTGCCCCGGGCAGGGACACCTTCCACTAGAGCAGGTTGCTCCAAGCCCCTGTGTCCAACCTGGCCTTGACCCTTCAGGCAGAACCACAACCCTCTGTGCTTGAGGCCAAGGCTCCTGTGGATGGAGCCTCCTCTCCCCAGGAAACCACGGTGGGTCCTGGTTCCAACCCCCTGAGCTGCGGAGCCCCTTCCACTGCACTGAGGTGTCCTGGAGGGGCACAGCTCTGCCCCCAAGCAGGGGACATCCCAGTTCAGTGCTCACAGCAGAGCAGGGCAGGAGGGAGAATCCGCCTGGAATACTTCTCCAACACAGGGGCATTCCAGGCTGTGCTTCCCTTAAGGTCACATCTAAGCAGGCGAGTCAGGCTCTCCTCAGCCTATTTTTAGCCATTCTGATTCTTTTGCTGCTCTTGCATCCATGAATCCTTTGCCACGACTTCCCTTTGCAGTATCTAGCACTCAATGAGGAAGCAACACGCTTCCCAGCGGGATGAGCTGGGGGTCACCAGCATCACTGTGAAAGCAACATCAGCACTAGTCAGCCCCTGGGCTGCCTTTGTAAATGACCCTTTAAAGGAGGCTGGGCTGGAAGCTGGTGCTGCTGTAACTGCCAGAGCAAGACACGGGTGTTCCTGGAGCAAGGAATAAAAGCCATGTCTGGGGAAGGAAAACAAGGAGATTTGTGCAGACATCAGCAGCTTGCTCACTGCAAAGAGCAGGACCCATGGGCTCCTGCCAGCTTTCTTAACCTGAGATGTTACACAACATGGCTCTGCGGGCGTTCAGTAGGTCTCGAAGGTCTCCCTGGATCCTGCAGAGAGCAAAGCTCCCTGCAGACACTGGTGCCCACACTGTGGCTCCAGGGGGACACCCAG